TTGTAGACTTCATAAGGCAATTTATGGATTGAAACAATCTCCACGTGCATGGTTTGGTAGATTCAGTAAAATAGTGAAGAACTTTGGGATGAAACAGTGTCAGGTAGATCATTCTGTGTTCAGCCATGACTCAAAAGATGGAAAAATCTTGCTAGTGGTGTATGTGGACAATATTGTCATAATTGGGAGTGACAGTAATGAGATTGACAGGTTGAAGAAATTCTTACAGGACCACTTCAATACGAAAGATTTGGGTAAGCTAAAGTACTTCCTGGGAATAGAATTTGCAAGGTCAAAGCATGTAATTAACTTATGTCAAAGGAAATATGTTCTTGACCTACTTGAAGAAACAAGACTGTTAGGTGTTAAACCAGCCAAGACACCTATGGAACCAAATGCTAAGTTAAGTGTCGATGCAGGTGAAAAGTTTGATGATCTTAGAAGGTACAGGAGGTTGATGGAAAAATTGAATTATCTAACAATCACATGACTAGATATATCATTTGATATAAGTTTGGTGAGTCAGTTTATGCAACATCCTCGAGTCTCATATTGTGAAACAGTCCTAAGGATAGTTAGATATCTGAAGGGTGCTCTAGGTCGTGGTATGTTATACAAGAGTAGATGAACTCTTGAGATACAAGGATATACATATGCTGATTGTGCTGAATCTGTATCAGACAGAAGGTCAACTACAGGGTATTGTACCTTCTTTGGTGGCAATTTGATAACTTGAAAGAGCAAGAAACAAATAATAGTTGCAAGGAGCAGTGCAAAAACTGAGTATAGGGCTATGGCTCATACTACATGTGAACTAGTCTAGCTGAAGAATTTGTTACAAGAAATGGGATTTTCAATTGATAGACCCATGAGGTTATACTGTGATAATCAGGCTGCTATACACATTTCCTCTAATCCTGTCTTCCATGAGAGAATAAAGCATATTGAAGTCGATTGCCACTTTATAAGAGAAAAAGTGGTTGATGGAGTAATAACTACAATTCATGTCAATTTAAGAAATCAGTGGATAGATCTTTTTACAAAGGAGTTGTTCTGGGGCAGTGTAGATTACATATGTGACAAATTGAGATTATATAATATATATTCTCCAGCTTAAGGGGGGAGTGTTAGAATCAACAGTACAAGGGCATTTTAGTCATTTGTCTATCTAGTTGAGAGTGAATAGTCTGTTCAGTTTTGTTTTCAAAGGAAAATATAAGTTGATTTTGTTTCAAAAAACAATACATGCTTTTAGAACCATCAAACTAATGGTTATTAAAAAAAAATCTAATATGATTTATGGAACATGGTATTAAATGAGATGAAAACATATTTTTGAAACCACAAGTCAAGAACTTGTTTTTGGTTTTAGCCTTGAAAACAATGAACACATAAAACATGTCTTTTGCATTTTTTGTTTTAAAAAACAATCTATTTTCAAACCAAGTGCTTTTGATTTGCTTTAACAATTAACGCCTCCTTAAATTCCTTCTCTCGTTCTTTCCAAAACCTGCGTCTGCATTAATTTGTTTCTGAAACTTAATTTCTTTGCTTCTTCTGATCACATTTTAATTGCCATTAACGACCCTCTTGTGTTGGGGTGACATCCCTCTCCAAGTTTCAATTCTAATCTTCTTTCATCTGTCTTGGCTGATCTTACTCTTTGTTTCCATCTACCCAATCAAAATGATTAGCCATTAACAGTTTCCTTCTTTTGAGCTTTCCAACCATTGATTTCTGTAACAGGGCTCCGGTTCCATGCTGATCACTTAGAACATTATCACCTAGGCTACTGAATGAGCTGCCTGGTTAGCATTCCTACTCATATATAATATTTACTTTGTGCAAAAGAATTATCCAAAATATAATTACAGCCCCTTCAAGCATTCAGTAATAGAATTCAAGGCTCGCTAAAAGGGAATCGGACATTAGTATAACAGCTCACTGATTCACCTGCAGCAGCCAGCACCAAATAAAGAGACCCTCTTCATATTTGGCTACATACCCAATAATAGCAGAACCATCATTCTCAACACCATAATGACAATTTTAATTCAACAAAACCAGTTGGAGGGCTAGAACAGAAGACTTCCTTATTCTGAATATTTAAACCTGGATTACTCCTCTACTCAAATTACAATTTCTAAAAACATATTTAACCTGAACTAAGAGAATATTAGCAGAACATTGATTCAATTGAAAAAATAGCCATCCCAAGACAACACTAACATTTTTTTTTTGGAAAAACAACACTAACATTTTATCCAATTTATCATCAAACGAAGCTAAGAAATCGCAAACAATATCTCTTGTGCTATTATTTTCCTGAAACCAATCTACACTCTAATATTCAGAGAGCACATAAACAAAATCTCTCTTACTAAAGGACAATTAATACAAAAAATAGTGACTAATTCCTCTTTATAATCACAAAAAGGGGAAAAAATACACAAGATTTATCCTTAATTTTCCCCCAATTTGCTAAAACAGATCTGAGCAGAATAAAACCTCTAAATATTCTCCACATGAATAATTTACATTATGGGGAATTTTCAATTTTTGAATCTTGCTTAAAATCCTCCTAATTTCAGAATTTAAAGCAACATTTCTACCATCCTGTCACAAGAAAACATTAAAAACATAATTTTTAGATAAAGTCCAAATAAATTTGTAACCATTGTTCTGCAAAAAAATATGGGTTTGAGAAGTATCCTTAATAGTATCCTCCAAAAAAACATCTCCCTAAAAAGTTCATATTTCCATTGCCCTGTAGAATTAACAACAAGATTCCTTAAATTTTTAAATCTAGAGGTGGGCCCATAGGATTATAATAACCATTTTTACCCATAATCCAAAAGCATTTCCCAAATTGACATCCTTGAGTCTTTACAGACTTCTAAAGCCCAATCTTTCTCATTTCTAAAAGACCCTTTGCAATACATTTCCATATAAGAGAATCTTGACTTCCAATCTTCCTTAGGCACAACTCATTATTAGAAAGGTATTTAGATCTTAAAAATTTTTACCCACACTGCATCTTTTTAAAATCTTGACTTCCAATTCCTCCTGCTGACAACCATGGCCTGGTAGATTCATCAACCTGGCATTAAAGAATCTATCAAGATCATCTGTTTCTGGCAAATGAAGAACACAATGTCTACAGAGATGACCTAATTTCCCATACAAATAACAAATGACTGGTAAATTTTCATATCTGTAAAGAACCCAAACAGAACTACTCACGAAAGCTCCAACTTTCAAGGTCCATTAATTGGGATAACCACCTTCAGCCTAATGGTGAGGAATAACCTCCTTCAACCTACCACTAGTAGATTGAACTCAGAACCCAACTTCATTCCTTGCATGTTCAAGAGGGAAGTTATGGATCTGAATCCATACCTTTGCATCTTTGAGAACCCACTCAGACTGTGGTCTCCAAAGAGCCCATTCTTTTAACAAGATCCACTGGTTAAAAATTATCCATGAACAACATTCTGATAATTTACCTCATACCTAAACTTATGCAGCAAAATGACTCTAATGGACACTCTGTTGACCCCTTATATTACATGCAATCTGTTTATCATATCAGCCAATGGAATGGACACTTTCGGGAAGACTCTTCCAATAAGACTTAAACCCCAGTAATCCATAAAGTTTTCAGTCATATCCCCCTATAAATTGATGACATCTACACTCCCATTAGCATCACCATTAAGCATGCTAGCAAAAGCATCCTGTAGATCATTTAAGGTTGTGTTTGGTACCATTGCTGTTTCTACCTGAAATGTTTGGGTTGATTAATACAAATTGGTGAGAAATATGTGCTGTCACATCACATATTAGAATCACTTCAAATAGAAAAAATGCATATGTCAGACTGATCATTGACATTGTTGAAACATCAGAATTGACATATCAGGTAGAAACAACAATTTGTATTGATCAACCCAAAATGTTTCATGTAGAAAAAATATCTCTCACCAATTTATATTGATCAACCCAAAACATTTCAGCTCAGTTTGGAAAGAGTACAAATACATACAAAATACAAGGCTTTGCACTCTACATATTTGTATTTGTACTCCTTCCAAAGCCTTCAGGTAGAAACAGCAATGGTACCAAATACAATCTAAGTCATCCATCTATAACAAATGCAAACAACAAACAAATGAAAAAATAAAACAGACAAAAGAAGCAATAAGTACCCAATAAGGTAAACCAAATACTGGGAAAACAATCATAGAGCAGGGAAAAAGAAACAAAAAGAAAACACTACCTGTATCCAATTAACGAGAAGAACACACAGAATAGTTTTTGATCTTGCTTTACTAACAAAAATACTACTTAGACAGCAAACGAGGAGTAATTACTATTTACTAGACCATAGTAATTCTCTACTAATGATCCTAGAATATCAACTTAAAAATCTCAAAATGCTACTGTAATGCGCCTAGATTGCACACAGCAGGAGAGGATGCTTTTTTGCAGCAAAAGAAAAAAAAAAAAACGAGGGGATGCTTTTTTTGATAGGTAAAATAAAATCGGAGAAGTACGGACAGGCCCAATGCAGATTCCATTAAAATAAAAGAAGAGTACAATTTAAACGACAAGGCATCACCCTACCCTTTGATCCTGGACATTTGAACTTAGCACTTCATTCAAACAAAATAATACTAAATATGAAAATTAGCAAGGAACACAATATGCTTCTATCATTACAATTTATTCAGACAAACAGGCTCGATAAACTGAGATCTTTGAGATTCTTTAAGGCTAAGAATCTCATGGATTCATTGTACGAAGCTCCCACAAATTTCATAAGAATATTGTGGCAGATGAATTTATGAGACAACCAAATGTCTACACTTAGATGACCTAAATATCATCACTCTGCTCTTTTTCACCCTTAAAAAAAGAAAAAAAGATCTTACTGATTACCAGCACTACGAATCCTCCTTTGCTTAAGAAGTACAATAACACCCACTTTCCCCCCATTATTACATCCTCGAACCCAGGCGCCAGACATAAGGATCCCTATGAGCTTCCAATTCTTCAACTACACCCGGAAAACTTGCAGCCCTCAAATTAGCATAACTGTCTCTCTTCCAATTCCGACTCGCTAGCTTCTCAGCTTCAAGAATTGCAGCCTCAAGTGTCTTTGCAGAATCCTCATAAACCCCATTCACAAACCCAGAATCAAAACCCTCAGAAGCCCTGAACTTCTTGGCCTTCAACACCACGTCTATCAGAGTATTAGCCATCACAATCTTGCTTTTTATAACTGCCATCAGACTCCTGGGCATGAACATCCCATGATCCAATTCGCTCATGTAGAGCACTTCTTTTCCATCCTTCATGAACCTGTAATCGTGAGCCAGTGCCAGCATGAATCCCCCGGCCGCGGCGTGCCCGCATATGGCGGCCACTGTTGGGATGCCGAGTTTCATCATCAGGCAGAGGAGACCTTCGAATTTGTCTTGGATGATAGTGAGGCCAGAAGAGGAAAGATTATCTTTTATCCATTTGAGGTCCAGGCCATTAGAGAAGAACCTCCCTTCGTTGGTGGTTACGAGGGCGCCGGCGTCCGGGGACTGCTCGATCGTCTTGAGGGCAGCGGCGATGTCGTCGATGGAAGATGGGTTGAAGCGATGGTCGTCTTTCCCGGTTAGGGTTAGGACGTAGACTCGGCCGCGTTTCTCGAGCCGGCAAGTTCGCCATTGATTCACATGTTGGAGCTTCTGCTTGTTTTCCATTATGAGATTCTAGCTAGTTTTCTAAGTTCTCAACTCCAAAGTTCTATTTACGGCTTTACCCCATGAATGAGAATGGATCCTTTTTATTTTGGGTAAATTATAAATGCCCCCAATACTAACGGCGTTAATGACAATAATCCCACAACTTGTTGTACATTGTGTATACTTAGTTCCAATCAAATTAATATTTAGATATATTTATTGTAAATGAGTAAAAGTATAACATTGTTTCATGTTAATATTGATATGTTTTTGTATTTAACTTTTAAATTTAATATTTATTAGACTCGTATTAGTTTAAAACGTTTTCAGCCATTAGATGGACTTAGGGAGTTTATCCTATTAAGCCTGACACTGATGTGTTGTCAAAGAAATTGATTATGGTGTTGTACTAGGTGTTGGATTGAGCTATCTTTGACATGCCAATCAATGAGATCCATCAAGAATCAAAACCTAAATATGTTGGGGCAGTCTGAGAATTCACCTGAGTAGATGATCATAATGATAGAATTGGCCTCTTTGTCGGACAAAGTGAATGATAGGGTTTACACTCTCTCTAATAGAAACCTAAACTACTGACAGTGAATTTCAACTGTATTTGAAATCTGGTTTTGCAAAATATATATAACGTTTTATGAAAAATATTTACAAAATGTTTTAATTCCCGGGAGTTGTGATTATTATGGGTTGAGAGATTAAGTGTAAGAAATCATTACAAAGCTGATTACCTGATGGGTTTTATCTTACTTAAGTTCATTATTCTTAAGTTCAACATTTAGGTGTAAATGTTGGGTCCATATTGAGCTCATAGTAATGCGCTCAGGGGTTCACTACGTTTAATAGTGAATTCGGCCAAGCCTTTTCACAGAAGTTGAGCCGAACCCATGTGAATTTATTATAGGGTCTCACACCATACAAATTAGGCCTAAGTTGGCCATACAATATCTTGGGTCGTAAGCCTTTGAAGTAAATGGACCTAAGGCCCATAGTTAATAAGATTAAGTAAGTTGTCACATGACAACTTAAGTTGTCATGTACTTTAGGCCAAATATGAATTTAGAAATGGTTATGAAACACCCATCATCTTAAGAGGATAAGACTTATATCTTAATAGAATCCAAATCCAAATTAGATTTGGATAATCTCTTAATTTGATTAAGAGAGTGCTCCATAAGGAGATAAAAGAAGAAAATGGTGAATCAGACTAGAACATCACTCTCTCTTGTTCTCTCTTGTCTTTCAATAAACCCTCACGATCTAGGCTTTAAAAATTGATTTATATTAGTTTTCTTCTTTGTTTTTGCAAGAAAAACTCAGAAGAAAATCAGATTCACTTACCTCATTCGATTCAAGCAAGTTGGATCACAACTTTGTTGAAAACTGTGTTGTTGAACCGACTTCACGCGCCACTTTCAGTGGAGGTTGGTTTTATGACTGATTTGGGCGTAAACTTCCACCTTGGGATCTGCATCTGTGGAATGTGTATTAGATATACATCTCCCTCTTTGTTTGGTTTCAAATTTGGTTTGGTTTGGTTTAGTGTAAGATCGATCCGAAAAATTCAATTTTCAAATTCACCAGGAAATTGTTTCCCGTAAGGGTTAGAAATTTTTTTTTGAAATTTCATCCAACCATTTAACATGGTTCGACCATCCATATGATGGATTCCAAAACCTTCCAGCACAACTTTCATTAGCAATTGCAACAAAACACCTCTACTATGGGTCAATGACACTTTCCCCCTAAACTTTTATTTCCAACAAAGATCCCTAAACTTTGGTTTGAAGAAAAAGGTAGGGAAAGGAAGGGAAAGAAAGGGAAACCAATACAAGGTTTATAAAGATTTCCATACCTTTCCATTCCTTTCCCTACATTTTCCTTCAAACGAAATATAACCTAAGAGTTTGGTTGTTCTTAATTTATTAGAGAAAGGAGTGAAAAGTTATAACCTCCAAAGTTTGTATACACATTTAAAAAACAAGTCTAGCGTTTTTCTAACACTTTGATCCACTGTTACCGGACCACAGGCCTCAAGCCTCATCCATACCAAACAAAATTTAGTATTGCCACATGCTAAATTCGTGCCCCTCAGCCTCATCCAAAGTTTTGTTTGTCAAACTCGTGCCCAGTTGAGCTAAATTTGGCAGCCCGAGTGGCTGAGACCAGTGTGGCCTTTTATGGTCCATTTGTTTTGTGGGACTAGGGGCTTGAAATTAGAACGAGAATGACCATTCTAATTCCAATCATTTAGTTGAATAAAATCAGAATCTGATTACCATACCTGATGGAATGGCATTCCCACATTTGAAAGAATAGACATTCCCTCTCTGCCTTGGGAATGATAATCCCATTCCAGCTGATTCCGATTGCCATCTGAATCAAACAGGCATGGAATATACCATTCTGATTCTAATCCCAACTGCAAACCAAAAGAACCCTTAAAAGTTTCCTAACGGTAAACTAAAACAAACTGCTTGTTGAAATCACCACATTCTTCAGATCTTATATTTCGCAAACTCCAATACTAGAAACAAAAATATTTGAAAAGCAATCTGTTACTCTGGCTCTTAATAAATAAAACTTAAGGTTCCCTAAATAAGGATCATTTTCTAACTGACAGGATTGCAAGTCGTAGATAAAACAGGCAAAAATGAACCGAAGAACCAGCCCAGATGGATTCACATTTTGCCAAAAAACCCCAACTCGATCTTAATTAAACCCACCATGTTTCAAGCAGAGCCCCCTTTTGTGCAACTCTTCAAATAAAAAATGAACCTTAATTCACTAGTCTTATGAGGGGAAGGAACCAATAACAGAAACATTAAACAATGGACTGCACCACAAAACAATCCAGTAACGTCCTGTTGTAATGTAGTCATAGCCTGTGCCAATAGTAGAAACAGGAGACAATAAAAATGCTTCTTTTATTGATAAGTATATACAAAACCAAAATGTTCAAAAAACAATCTATACTAAATGGACAAAAAAACGCTAAATGGAAATGATCATTATCATTCAAGTGATGCCACTTGGGCTACTATAAATTTTAATATATTGGAGGTTGAAACTCATTGTTGCACAATGACTAATATTTACAGAGGTAAACCGCATGAGTGAATGGAAATGTGGGTTATATGCTTCACCTTTCAGAACATACTGGCACAGGTAACGCTCATTGAAGAGCATGACATGGCATGGTCCATAACAAAAGAAAATTTGCTTGGATCCTCCTATTGCCTCATCTTCTTCTGTAATGGCCCTGAAGAAGGCCCAGCCTGCCAAAGAAAAAAAAAAATTGGTCGATGATAAAGAAATTATTTGCAATGTCAAATAGTACTACTTTTTGATGATGAAAAATGGAAACAAAAGAACATTGAACCTGGATTGAATCACTCAATTGTGGCCAATCATTTAGACCTTCCATTATTAAATTAAATTGGGTAGATCAAAGCTATATTTTTTTTTTCATTTTTTTTGATCCTTAGATGAAGTGGAGAAAGGAAATGAGGATCAAGGCCAAAACTTTCCTGCTTGAGGGAACTAGAAGCAGAGGTAAAGACCCTACTGATTAGAGAAGGAGAGTAAATGTGTTCCTGGGATGCAGCAAGGTAGCTCAAAGGTTTTGTAGATGGAGCTATTCAGTTGGTGAAACAGACAGGCTGGAAGAATACATTGGAGATGGAAGAAAGGATTTACCAGGTGGAACAAAGAAACTTAAAGGGGTGGTTTCTGGTACTAACAGAACAGTTTGGCTGAGAACAGAGACAAGTTATCTGCTTTCCAGAGGGTAGAAACAATTTCGGATGGAAAGTCATAAATGGTCTGTTATAGGAATATTTAATTAGGATTGTTGAAAATCAAAGAATTGAACAGGCTAAAGGGGAGAGTCAGCAGGAGAGCCAGGAGGAACCAATACAGAATATAGACCCAGAGTTACCTTTGGTTTGTCTTACGATGGCCCCAAGGATGGCTGCAAATGGAGGTAGTGAAAAATGGTAATCTTAACTAAAAATAGAGTGAAAGATTGGAAGGACATTTTGAATACACTTGAAACTAAGTTGCAGCTGAAAGACAGTTTTACTCAAGCCATTCAATCTCAATAAAACCATTATGGAGATTGGTAACACCAAACTCAATTTTTGTACATTGGAGACCAGTGAAGATCTGGTTATGGTTGAGATTGAATGGCTTGAGTCTATCTTGAGTAATGAGAAGACTTAAGAGGGAAGCCTCATTCTGAAGATTCTGGGCCTCCCGTTCAACTTGTGGTCTGAGTCTATCTTGAGTAAAGTCGCACTAGCTTGTAGAGGAGTCTTGATGGAGGAAAGGTTGTTGGTACAAATGGGCCTATTATGGTGAAACCCAAAGATGATGGGCCGGGAAAAGAGATTGAGCCAAATAAGAATAACAGCTTGGATATTGAGAAGGCACATGAGCTTTTAAGGGAACATGTGATTGGTAAGGAAGGGGTGATGATAGACGATTTTTTTTTGTCCATCATCTTCTTCAGTAAGAACTCAATGGGAGGTTGAAAGTTTGGATGTCAACAACATTCTGAGAGTGGATCTTCAGGAAGCAGAGAGAAAGAGAGAGAGAGAGGAGAGCAAAGGGGAAGTAGTAAAAGGATCCAGCAAGAGACAGGCCTTGCTCGTAGATGTTGGCCTGCAACAATCTGGCAAAAAAAATCAAGGATCTGATTTGATCCTCGCAGGCAGGATAAAGGAGGGAGGTAAGAAGGGGTTGGAGGGAGAGGAAAAGGTAGAGGAGAGGTGATGGGGAAAACTTAGGGGAGGAGAAGGAAGAAGGCGGTTTTGGTAAAAAAGAGGAAGTGAAGGGAATGAGATTAACGGAGTAAAAGTCTACCAAAGGAAAAGGAATTACAAACTGAAACTTCTAGAAGAGGATTGGAGTTGGAGAACAATGAGGAGGTAGAAGAGATCACGATGGATGAGATCCATGAAGTTGAAAAGAAAAGCCGACTTGAAAAAGTTATTAACAAAGCGGTAGAGGTAAGCAAAATATTGGGGGATTATTCTTCTTGGGGAGAGAGGATTTTGCAAGGAAAGCCTTAAGGGAAGTGGAAGAAAGGTATGGTGGGACTTTGAAGAATGGATAGAGGGACATTTTCGAGCAAAACAGGGCCTTTACAAAAAAGGGAAGATGACTTGGTAGCGGAGCAAGTGTTTGAGAAAAATGCGTCTTTGAGCTAGAAAGGATTAGTCAATTCTATGGAGAATGGAAGAATTGCGAGGGTTGTCTCAATGCAGTTAAAAGATTTAGACACCAAAAGTTTAGTAGATTTGTGCCAGTTCCAAAGGTGCTTGATAGATTGAAAGGGGATTTATTTAGGGTAGGCATTAACTAGAGGGTTAAGAAGAATAGAAGAGCTGTCAAGAAAAAGAAAGAGGTTGTTTGATTCATTTGTTAGAAGGCTTGGGATAAGTATTGTTTCTTGTGTAGAGGTCTCGGGTGGGGTGGTTTTGTCTGTTTATGGTCTCTGGGAAGGTGAGATGTGAGCAAAGGGTTAAGTTAGGATTTTAGTTGTGTTCTAATTGAATTTTCTTGGGTTTTATTAGGGATAGTGTCAAGGTTTGGTTGGGTAAGTGATAGTTTGTTGCTGGGATCTTTTATTTGTGGGTGATTCTTTATACCTTCTTGTACTTTTCTTTATCATTCTTAATAAATTTTTTTCTTTATTTATCTTAAAAAAAAATTCATCGCTAAATTTCTCCTTGACTAGCTTATCACATACTTGGGCTACTTTCTCATTGGCCCAGATCTTTTTTCACAAAGGGAGGCTTGTTCTTTCATCCACCTCACTAAACTTGTCAGAACTATTACACTTATTCCATGATTCAACACTTGGAGGGCATTCAGGGGTGCTGAGAACCTAAAGGGTGGAAACGTATGAGAAAGACTATTCAAGAGTATGTTGTCCAGTGTGCTATTTGTCAGAAGTACAAGAATGAGACTGTAGCTCCGGCTAGCCTCCTTCAACCCTTACCTTTACCTGAACACGTCTGGAATGATGTTACCATAGACTTCATCACAGGCCTGCCGATCAGCCAGGAAGTCTGTTATATTAGTGGTGGTGGACAGGTTGATGAAGTACAGTGATAAACTTCAAACAGCTGAGCTTCTTCAAGGGAGCTCTACCTCCTAAAATGAATACAGGAGGAGAAGAAAGGGAGAAGAGAATTAGGGAAAGGTGATTCAGATATTTCTTGCCGTTCCTTAGGGTTCTCATGAGCTATTTATATCTCATCATAACAGGTTCCTGTCATGCCAACTCCAAGCATGTGGGGAGGCTGAGTTAGTTCTGCTGACATGGCCTCCTAGTGTATACAAACTTGATGGGCTGAACTACACAAGACACTCCCTCTGAGCTGATGGCTTTGGTGTTTGATGCCTGGGGCTCCTGGACTTGGGCCGTGGGTGCTGGTGGGGGCTGCTGTGTTGACCCAGGTTCCCATCAGCCCCACCCTCTTTGTAAACAACCTTGTACTCAAGGTTGAAATCAGGAAATCGGTGCTGCAGCCTTGAAACATCTTCCCATGTTGCATCTTCCACACTTAAGGTTCTTCCATCTAACAAGAGCCTGTTTGATTCTCTTTGTACCCAACTTGATCCACCTGAAATCACAGATGGAGTGAGGTTCTAGTATGAGTGAACCCTCCTCTGGCTCTGAGAACTGAGGTAGAGTACTGCTGACTCTAGCTGAAGGAGATATGCATGGTTTCAGCAGACTAACATGCAACAGTCCCAGTGAACTCCAACCGGTGCAGGTTGGTATGGAACATGCAATTCTGTACCTGCAACCCCACCATTTTGCAAACTCCATCACACATAATCCTGTGCCCATTAGCCACATGGACCACAAAGGGATCTATAGCTTCCACTGCCATCACAGTCTGTTTTATCAACTCAGTGGTAATGAAGTTCAACAAACTTCCACAAAGGGATCTCTCTGTCCCACTGGGGCATCTTCAATCTCCTCAGAGTCATCTTCAACTTCCTCAGGCTATAGCAGAAACAACTGTTGGGCCTTGCAACAATGCCTAAGGGCAAAATTTTTCTTCACAATTGTAACACAGCCCTTCATCTCTGCATGCCTGCATCTCAGCCCATGAGAGTTTCTTAATGGGTACAAGGGCCTGGTTTAAGGTCTTGGGTAAACCCGGTTCAACCTATGGTGGGGAAGACTTTAAGACCAACTCTGGTTCAGGTCTAGGTGGTGGTGGTGGTGGTGTGTGTGTGGGGGGGGGTGTTTAATGAGTAGTCCCAAGGGATGATTTGTCATTTTGGTTTTGTCAATCTTCTCTTCAAATAACCTGGCCAACCCTAAAATAGCCATTACCATTGACAGTTGCATGACCTTTACCTCGAGTCTAATATCTTCCTAGAGCCCTCCGACAAAACACCTGATTAAATCCTTCTCCGGCCACCCATGAACCCTAAGCCAGTCTTTCAAATTGACTCTGATATTCCCCCAGTGATCCAACCTGGCGAAAATTGGCAAGGGACTCATCGAAATCTTCAAACCTAGAAAGGCTGAAGCATACATTGAGGGCTTCAGTGAAATCGAGCCAGGTCAATTGAGGATGAGACCTCCGGTACCATTGGTACCAGACGTTGGCTTCCCCATCCAAGTGAATTGAGGCAAGTTGGAGCCTCTAAGAAGCAGCAACATCATGATATTCAAAATATTGTTCAACTCTGTTAATCCAAGGTACAAGGTCCTCACACCTGAGAAGATTGGAAAATTGATCTTCAAGGTCCTACCAGATGGATTTCCTGCTGGCCAGTGGCTATCTCCTCTTGTTCACCTTCCCTGTTCGACCTATGGAGATTTTGTCGAACTGAGATGAACACAAAGAGAGTTACCTTCATCTCCTTTAAATCTCTATCTGGTTTGTGGAGTTGAACTTCCAGCCAATCCATTCTTTCATCTGAGGAACTAGCTCTAGTGTTGGGCATCCTGGACCACAGGCTCTGATACCAGTCGATAACTTCAAACAGCTGAGCTTCTTCAAGGGAGCTCTACCTCCTGAAATAGATAAAAGAGAAGGAGAAGAGGGAAGAGAATTAGGAAAAGGTATTTCAGATATTTCTCATGAGCCATTTATATCTCTCATCATAACAGGTTTCTTTCCTATCACGCCAACTCCAAGCACATGGGGAGGCTGAGTTAGTTATGCTGATGTGGCCTCCTGGTGTATACAACACAACACTCCCTCTGAGTCATTGGCTTTGGTGTCTGATGCCTAGGGTTCCTAGACTTGGGCTGTGGGTGCTGGGGAGGGGGGGTGGGTGCCAACCCAGGTTCTCATCATACAGCTATTTTGCAACCTTGGCCCATCCTTTCACAGCAGCCTAATTGGCCCAAGTCTTTATTCAGGAGATCACCCATTTGCATGAGACTCCCAAGTCCATTCTTTCAGACCAGGATCCAACCTTTATGAGCAGATTTTGGCTTGAAGACTTTAAGGTGCAGGGGATAAGGTTTCTGCATTCTACAAGTTATCACCCACAAACCAATGGACAGTCTGAGGTGATCAATAGAACAGATGGTTACCATGGGCTGAATACTGGTACAACATCAGCTTCCATGTCTCTACAGGGATGAGTCCTTTCAAGGTGGGATCCCCCAGCCATTGTCCCTTATAAACAGGGGTCATCATCAGATGTTGAAGTAGATGATCAACTTTCAGAGGGATGACATTCTAAGAACCTTAAAAGGTCACTTACTGCAAGCAACAAGAAGCACATTGAGCCTGGCACAAGTTTGCACCTTGATTTTTTGGGTTGTTTCGCATTGAACGTCTTGGGCAGGTGGCTTTGTAGACAGACAGACCACTGTAGCTCATTGAGCCTTTGTCTATTTGAAGTTACAGCCATATAGACAGACCACTGTAGCTCATTGAGCCTGGCACAAGTTTGCACCTTGATTTTTTGGGTTGTTTCGCATTGAACGTCTTGGGCAGGTGGCTTTCCATTTGGACCATCCACCCACTTCTAGATTACACCCTGTCTTTCATGTTTCCCTCCTTAAATGCAGTTTGAACCCAGGCCAAGCTTTTAGCCCAACCCTTCCTCACTTTACAGGGAAAGGAGCATTGCAAGTGAAGCTACCCAAGACTACTGATTTCCATGGGCCATGAAGAATGGAAAAGTGCTCCAGGAGGTGTTGGTCGAATGGAGTAACCTGCCCCCAGAAGATGCAACTTGGGAAGAATACTCCAAGCTACAGTGATGTGCATATAGTCTATAAAGTCCGAATAGTTTCAAGTAAAATAGCTGGGAGACCCATCGCTCCTAGTTCATTTACTTGATGGGTGGCATCTCCTTATCAAGCCCAAGTTAGCATTCCTGCAGTGCTCACAAATGTCTTTATCATAACAAGATTAACAGAATGCTTACAATGTTAGAGAGTTGTTCACTGATGTAGGCCATTGATCTCAACATGGCTTCCAGTGTATCTTTAGTAAGCTGGAATTTCACCTCTGTTTCGCCTAAAGGGGACTTAGCATAATCTTGGAGCTGCAAAATGTATAACATAAAAAGAATTAAACAAGCTCTACACAATTAACGAGGGACCCTAGAAATCTAAACACAAGAAAATTTATTTGTTCATAAAGAACAACACTATCAGCAAGGTTTAAAATGTTGGTGTCGGTGTCGGTGTCAGTGGAAAAATCAACCATCCAAATGTAGAAAACATGTTGGAAATGTTGAAAACATCATATGAAAATACTGTAGAAATTATAGACATGGTGGGACAATTATGAAATATGCAAAAATATAGAATGCTATTTTTTGTAATGATAAATGATGCAATGGGCAGACCTGTTAAATTATTATCCTGTTCCAAATCACCAAAACTACATGATAGAGACAGTTCAAGTAAAATTTAAAACTCATAGAAAGTGTGAATGATTCTAATAGATCAACCAATAATTTATTATACAATAAAAATAAGATTTAACTTCATATTTGAAAAGAATTTCAAATTGGCTCGAAGTGGTAATCATGTCCATTAGGTGAGCAAGAATACTGCTACCCCACACATCTAAAATATTGTCTCCAACTTATGTTACAACACTATCTTGTAATCCACATAGTGTGAACTGAATTCAGATCTAGGAGAAAACAGATCTAGGGGTGTCCAGGATAGTCGACCCCCACCCCAAAGAGCCTCTTTTATATTAAAGAGATAAAAAGTATGTACAGTTACAAGAATGCCCTTACAGGGCTGAAAGATAAAAAGAACATTTTAAAATAGAAGTATGTCATGGAAATATTAGGAAATTTATGGACATTTTAAACATGATTATTATTGTTATTGTTATTGTTATTATTTATTGGAAACAGTAACTTTCATTAAAAATAGCAATTAATCATTATACTGTCAACCACTCAGAGTATGAGTGTTGACCCCAACCATTTTATTTATTTATTTATTTTTTTTGAGAGAAAGCAATGTATGAATATATTAAGAAAACAAAAAACAGTATAGCAAGCTGCTATACATAAAAAGGGGGATGCACATCCAATGCCCATACGACCCTAAACCCCCACCCTCTGCTTTACAAAAATATTATCATATGCAAAAAAAGAATTGAGATTTCTTTCCCTACATGGTTTGTTCATAGCCAGACAGGAAAACAATTTCCCCAAGATTTTCTGGAAAACTGAATCAACCGAGCTGCTCTTGTTTCTGAACATTCTTGAGTTTCTCTCTTGCTAGACACACCAAAAAACTGGTGCAGGAGTGATATTCCATGCTACCTTCCCCCTTTTGGTTAGACCAGCTACACTCCAGCTCTGTAAGAAGTCCACCACTGATTCTGGGTTGCAGGTTTGCACCACAACCATTTCCCAAATCCTTGACCAAATCTCGTGGGCAAAGTCACAGTGTAACATCAAGTGGTTAACTGATTCAACGTGCCCATCACACAACACATAATTATTGGACTCCAAAGGCATGTCCCTCCTAGTTAAGTTATCCCTGGTTAGGATTCTGTTGAGGTAGGTGGTCCACACAAAGAAGGCTACCTTTGACGGCACATTTTTGCACCAAATGATGTTTGCTGGAATGGCCTGTTCCTCTAATCTGGACACGTGATTATAGAAGGATTTGACTGTAAAACTTCCAGATTTATCTCACTTCCACAGCCTTCTATCAATGCTCCCAATCTCCACCTGAGTGATATATAAATTGTGAAGCATTTCCACCATTGCCTCCACCTCCCAGTTATTTAGGTTTCTTCTGAAACGAGGAGTCCAGACCATGGTTTTCAAAACCGGACCAGACTGGAAAAACCGGGAACCGGTCAGATGACCGGTTCTGTTTTACCCCAAAACCGTTGATTTGGTCAGCAAACAGCTGACCCGGGTGGTCAAACCATTCGAACCGTTCAATGGTTTGGCTGGTTTTTATTTTTTTGTCAGAATGGGCCATCCGTCCGGGAACCAGACCCCTGACCAGTTCGTTGTCCGGGTCGGTTTTAAAAACCTTGGTCCAGACTACATACCCATTCCACACCTGTAAGTGGTTTGTCACCCAAGCTTCTTTGTCCACTGCCAACACATATAGGGCAGGGAAAGACTCTTTCAGTGGTCTGCCTTCACACCAGGAGTCTCTCCAAAATTTCACCTGATGGCCATCACCAATTTTGAAGCAGATACCCTTCCTAAAAGGGTCGAAAGCTTTCCTTATGCCTTTCCACACAGAGCACCCAACCAATTTCAAAGTTACATCACAGCCCAAAAATAGGGTTTTCCCTTAAGGTCCCCTGCTTTGCCAAAATAATCAGCCACAGAATTGGCTGACCTCTTTACCCACTTGAAGATTGCTTATATATACAATAATTAAATAAATTAGTATAATAAAATTAAAAAAATATATTTATTTTATTAATATATTATATACGATATATTATTATATAATTATAATTTATATAATATTATATAAATAAATAAATATAAAATATATATGGGCCGTGCTGGGCCGTGCCGGCTTGTGGACCTAAAACCCCAGGCCCAGCACGGCCCGCATGATCGTGCCGGGCCTAGCACGGCCCATGGACCATCGTGTCGGGCCGCGGACGGCACGACCCGATTTACACCTCTAGTCCATACACCCAAACTTTGTCAGCAGCCATCCTATTAACAGTTTAGAGTCTCCCTCCACCTCAACGTTTTGATATCCCCATTGCTTGGACAGCCTCAAGTCTTCTAGTAGGGTCATAATTTCAGCCTTCAGAGAATCTCCCACACCCATGGGGCCAGAGTATAGTGCTATCAGCCTGCCCTCCCCAGCTCCAGAGGGTCCTGGATTACCTAATGAGCTTCCATCAAAGTTCAATGTTATCCTTTGTTGTGCTGCAGTTGTCCAATAAAGCTGATCCACAGACTGTGCAGTTGAAGAATTTGCCATTACCAACCATCCCCTAAGGATAATCATTTTAAACACGATTATCACTATCTAGTTTCACATATGTCAACCACAGTTGTCATGACCAGTGCTGTCAACGTAGTGAGGCAACCACTAGTTGTTTGGCCTCCCTAGGGGATGCATTGACTGGTGCTAGTAACTAACTAATCAATCAAAGAAATGATAAATTCTAAATTTAAGATATTGATGCAATATCATCCACTAGTCAATACAAACAGAAAATATGCAATATAAGAATGTTAAAAATATTTAGTTTATATTCATGGCTTTTCAAAAATAAAACGGCTAGATAAGTCGAGATAAGGAGTGAAAATCTAGGAAAAGTGCAACTTTAACTATTTGATGTGGTCCTCCTTTTTGTGGAAATTCCATAACAGCATACCATTAATTCCAAGTAAAAGAAGTCCCTCACTTTATTGTTTTACCTTACTCCTTATTTTATATACCACACTGTTTTCAACCCGCCACTGACCATGTTAGTCAAACTAGTAACCCGGTCAAAATCCCTGCTTCGGTTGTGTCAAACCTGCTATTTACAAAAAACCAATGACTCAGTCAATAACCTGCCAGTAAAGACAGTTGAACAGTTGATCCATCTGACCCATTCAAGGAATAAACATAGTTCTCAAGAATCCAAGGCAAACCTAGACAACAAGGGAGCACTTAGTCGCCTAGGCGTTGCTTAAGGTCTAAACAAAATAGAACAAAAGGGGGATGAGCCCCTATTTTTTCCATTGAAATAGAAGTTAAAGTTTGTGGTATAGGATGGTGGGTAGCATTCATGGCTGTTCCTATTCAGGTTGGGATGCCAGAGTAACTCGTCGGGCTACTCTATCAACTCCTTGGAAGGCAATACATGGCATTCTTCCCAAATTTCTTCAATGTGTAAGGTATGATGCTTGTGCGGGCAATCTAGTTCTTTTTTGGGAAGATACTTGGGTGGGTAACTTGTCTCTCAAAGACCTTTTCCCCTCTCTTTACTCTCTTTCCCTTTATAAAAAAGAGCCTATTTCCTCTTTCCTCTCCCCTCCAGTCCTCCCTCTTTCTTTGAATTGGGATTTTAGTTTTCATAGAGGTTTGCGGGAGGCTGAACTTCCTTCTGTCACTGAGTTGCTTTCTTCTCTTGACAATGTTTGTTTAGACCCTTCTTCCCCTGATAAGAGAGTGGGGGCCCCTACTCCTCAAGGCTCTTTTTCTTGTGCTTCTTTCTTCAAATCCCTTTGTTCTAGTGATGTGCCTGGGTCCTTCCCTGTATAAGAAGTTTGGACCAAACCTATTCCCCCTAAGATAGTTGTCTTTTGTTGGAAGGTGTACCATGGTAAGATTAATACTTTGGAAAACTTGGAAAAGAAAAGCCCTTTTTTTGTGTCTTCCCCCAAACTGGTGTATTTTGTGCAAAGCCCATAGAGAGGATTGCTACCACTTACTGATCTCCTGCCCCTTTGCTGCAGCTCTATGGGATTGGATTTTTTATTTGTTTGGTTGCAGGTGGATTCTACCATAAGAAGTCAATTTGTTGTTTAGCTCACCTACCTTCATTTGGCCAACAAAAAAGGGAAATGCATGTGGAGATGCATTAGAGAAGCCACACTATGGACTATTTGGGGAGAAAGGAATTCTAGAATCTTTCTTGACAAGGAGAGAACCCTTCCAGTAGTAAAGGAGTGTATTTTCACTAGAGATATACACTGGCTGAGAACCTTAGAATCCTTTTCTCCGTTTTCCTTTGCAGATATTTGGAGAAGCTGGGATGCAATTGCTAACTTGTCCTCTCAGAAAAATAAATCTGCAGCAGTTTGGATACCTCCCTTGGAAGGTTTTATCAAATTGAATTTTGATGGGAGCAGTCAAGGCAATCCGGGATTGTCAGGGATTGGAGGAGTCTTGAGAATTGAGGATAGCAAGATCTTATCACTGTTTTCAGGCCCGATGGGAATAAGTGATTCTACAAGGGCTGAGTTACTGGCTGCTGTACAAGGAATTCAGATTGCCAACCAACTTGGAATAGAGAAGTTACCGATTGAAGGGGACTCTTAAGGTAATTGTGGGTTGGTTGTAGAACCTCGATTCAGCTACTTGGAAC